CAGGGGATTGGAACCTCAGGATGAGGAGTAGTTGGGTGTTGGGTGGGCAGGGCGAGGGGGAACGGGGGAAGCAGGATGCAGAGGTGGAGTTGGTTGAGGATGAGGCTAGACGAAGGTCTTACTGTCTCCAGCCGCCTGCGGCATATCCCGCAACCGTGCCAGCGCAGCCTGGTTTCAGACCCACTCAAGTTCAGGCAGGGCGCTGACCTGGAGCGGGTTTCGAACCCTCCCCCTGTCCGCAGCCTCGTGCTCCTCTTTGCCTCCTCCTCGCTCCTCCTCCATCCCTTTTCCCCATCCGTAGTTTTCCCCCCTCGCACCCCCAGGTCGGGCTGGCCAGGCGTGCCGACTGAGAACCGTTGATGATCCCGAAGTCTGAACTCTCTGTATCAGTTTCGAGGGATGCAGGGGGGCGTCGCGCACATTCGTTCGAAACGTTCGCAGCAGTTTCACTGATGGAGGGGGCGGACGGTTTTCAAAATGGAGCCCTCGTTTTATTGCCGCGCGCACTCTTCTTGCACATTTGCAGCAGTTTCGCGCATGGCGGTCATTCCTTTTTCAACTTGATGCTCTCGCCTCAGCGCCGCGCACATTCGCCTTAAACGCGTTTAGCAGTTTTAGTAGTTTCAATGTTGGATCGCGGTTTCTTTTCACATTGGTGCTCTCGCATCAGCGCCGCGACCATTCGCTTCAAACGTTTGCGAAAGCTTCACTTTTTAGCTGGCGGGGCGTGATCAAACTGGTGATCTCACCCTAGCGCCGCGACCATTCGTGTCAAACGTTTGTAACAGTTTCAATGAAGGAGGGCGGGTCGTTTCCAAAGTGGGGCTCTCGCCGTAGCGTCGCGCAACTTCGCCTCAACCAGCTTGCAACAGTTACAGGGATGGCGGGCCGTTCCTTTCCACGATGGGGATCTCGCCTGACCGACGTGCGCATTCGTCTTAGACGTGTGCAGCATGATCTACAGGACGGCGGGCGGCTCATCTTCTAACTTCGGCGTTCGCTTGCTACTCCTTGGGGTACGCCTCCGATTCTTGATGGCCCCAGGGCCCGAAACGCGGTCCGGGAGGCCGAGACGAACGAGGCACGCCAGGGATCGAAGCATCAGATCCAACCGAAGTCTGGGGCCGCGCAAGGCGATGTGCGGCATCCGGAGCCTGCTCAGCGCCACGCTGACTTTTGTGCACGCGCCCCCGCAGCGCCCAGAGCCGGCGGCGCCGAGCCCGCCCCGCGCCGAAGGTGCCACTCCTCGTCGCCGACGTCGTCGCTGCCGTCGTCGGCGTCGCCGCTGCGTTTGTCGCCGCAGCCGCCGTCGACGCTGTCGACGTCCCCGTTGTCGCCGCGTTCGTCGTAGTCACCGCCGTCGCCGTCGCCGCCGGCGTCTCCGCCGTCTCCTCTGTCGCCGCAGCCGCCGTCTTAGGTGTCGCCGTCGCCGTGCCTAGCCATCGTCGTCGTCGCCATGGCCGTGGTCGTGGTCGTGGTCGTGGTCGTGGTCGTGGTAGTGGCGGTGGTCGTGGTCGTGGTCGTGGCCGCGGTCGTGGTCGTGGTCGTGGTCGTGGCCGTGGTCGTGGTCGTGATCGTGGTCGTCGTCGGCGTCGGCGCCGTCGTCGTCGTCGTCGTCGCATCCTGGCGTCATGGGGGAAGCATCGAAACACGGCGGGCGCTTTTGTCCGCCTCAGGCCTCCCAAGAGCCCGCGAGAGCCTGTCTGGTTCGAGGAATAGCCGCGCGCGCATACCCGGCCGGACCGCGCGTAGGAGCATATTAAATTAACAGCACAAGAAGGCGTCAAGCCGACGTTCGCCGAGAGCGACAGTTGGACTAGAGGCACCTGCCTTTACCCCCCGCCCGCCAGATCCATGGCTGGATAGTTCTGGGCCGCTGTGGAGCGGCCGCGGCGCAACCCCCCCGCAGGGTTTCAGGGATCCCTGAATCCATCCGAGCCTGATCTTACCCTCGCCTTGCCTCCGTCCCGCGGGGGCTGGAGCGCGGCTTGGGCGCTCCCTCCCTGAGCCTCGCTGCCTGGTGGCGGCGGCGCAGCACGGCGGCGGGTGATGGTGGGGTCAAAGGCTCCAGTCGCGATCTTGCTCCACGGTGCGTAGTGGTTTCGCACGGCCCAAGACGCCAAGCCGCGCTCGGCACGCGGCGTCAGATCAAGGCCGCGCAGGCGGCGCTGAGCGCCGCCCTCGGCGCCGACGATGGCCGAGGCCGTGCTGCACCGCGCTGCGGGCTGTCGCGGGGGCCCCTATCCCCCGCTTCGGCGCCAGCGAGCTTCTGGAGACGTGCCTCACTGCGTCAGTGGGGCTCTCTTTCGCCTGCCTGCGCACCGCGGCCTGCTCGGCGGCATCCCTCTTCCGGGCTTGGCCAGGGCAGTTTTTCGATGCACAGGGATGCGCACGCCGCGCGACTTGGGCGCTCGAGCGTGTAGGCTTTGCCTTTCCTCCCCCCTCTCCTCCTCCTCCTCCTCTTCCTCCTCCTCCTCCTCCTCCTCCTCCTCCTCCTCCTCCTCCTCCTCGTCCTCGTCCTCCTCCTCCTCCTCCTCCTCCTCCTCCTCCTCCTCCTCCTCCTCCTCCTCCTCCTCCCCCTTCTACACAAGCTCAGGATGCAACTCCGGGGCGGTTGGCGGCGTCACTCAGCATCCTTGGTCGAAGACCATCCCAGCCCGAATCGGCATAATCCCGTTTAATCCAGGTCAATCCCGCATGATTCGGCTTCGTCCTTGCTTAATCCCCTGCTTATGATCCGGCCTAATCGGGCTTTGCATGCCGTAATCGTTATTACGAAGTTGGGGTTTGCTCGTGGTGCCCCTGGCCCAAGGTGCCCCCAGCTTTTCGCTTCATGATGTTGCCCCGGGGGGCCCCTGGGCCTCGCGATGGCTACTCTGGAGGCCGTGGGGGCCTCACTGGACATCCTGGCGGCATCTTGGGACAGGGGCACCTCTGGCAACATCCGACGCGGGCTTCCTTGCGCTGCTTCCCGACCCTGCCTCCAGGCGCCGGGCCCGCCCCCGAGCCCCCACCGTTCACGGGGGGCGGCTACGCGACGGACGCGGGCAGCGGCTTCCTCGCCCATGCTGGCGGGCAGTGGCTCTTCAGCGAGGCCGAGGGCGTGTACTTCCACGTCTCGGCGGCCGCAACAGGGGCGGAGGGCCCCAGGGGGGGGGGGGCCATTCCCAGACCCCTTCGCGTCGTGGAGCTGGCGCGAGGAGCGTTCTTTCTGTGTCGTTGCTCCTGTCGGCCTCTCGGGGGGTCCTCGCCGGGCCCGGGGGCGGTCAAGAAACGACTCAGCACGAGAAGCTGGTCTTCGGGAATGGGTCGAGGCCTCTGGGGGTCGACGTTGTGAACCAATTCTAGACGCTTGGCGTAATTGATCCCACCAGCCCATCCAGAAACGATGCCCAGGGGAGCTGCCCAGATCAGGGATGTGGGGGAGCATGCAGTGGAGTAAACGGCTGGGCAAGCCGTCATATCCCAAGAGGGGGAAGATGGATGGAGGAGGAGGAGGAGGAGACGGAAGAGGAGGAGGAGGAGGAGGAGGAGGAGGAGGAGGAGGAGGAAGAGGAGGAGGAGGAGGAGGGCGAGCAGAAAGGCCAGAGGCCTCTTGGATACCTTTCGGACTCTCTTCGGATGTCTCATGAGAGCTTCTTCGAGTCTACTTGGGGCGTCTTGGGGGCCTCTTCTTAGCAGTCCCAGGGGCCTCTTGGAGCGTCGTCTTGGGTGCCTCGGGGGAGCCTCTTGGGGGTCTCTTGGGAGCCTCTGGGGAACCTCTTGAGGCCTCCTGGGCGATTCTTGGGGCCCTCTTGCGGCACTGTCGGAAGCCATGGGGGTCATCTTGGGACCATCTTGGAGGAGTTCGATCAAGTAAGGAGGGGTCCTTAATTAGGCCCCCCCCCAGGAGGCCAACACTTGACCGACATCTGAGGAAAATCAAGATTTGTGCCTTCTCACCGAGGCCTTCTTGGACGCTCCAATTGGTCGCGACCTCCCCCCTCCAGATCCAGGGGGGGGGGGGCTACGGGAAGGGACAAGAGTCTCCCTCCCCGCCCGCAAGCCGTCTCGCTCACTCCCACCCGCCCTCCCAGCACATGCAAAGCACCCGAGCCTGGCCCGAGCCGGAGCATATGCAGCAGTCGTCTTTGGATGGCCAGCTACTGGGGGCCAATCCGCCGCCGCCGCCGCCGCCGCCTCCTCCGCCGCCGCCGCCGCCCGCCGCCGCCGCCTCGACGCCGCCGCCGCCGCTGTCCGCCTCCGCCGCCGCCTCGCCGCCGCCCGCCGCCGCCGCCGCCGCCGCCCCCTGCTGCCAAATCGCCGCCCCGCAGCCGCTGCCGCCGCAGCCGCTGCCGCCACCGCTGCCGCCGCCGCCGCCGCCGCCGCCGCCGCCGCCCTCGCCGCCGCCACCGCCGCAGCCGCCGCAGCCGCTGCCCCCGCCGCAGCCGCCGCAGCCGCCGCCGCCGCCGCCGCCGAGTGTACTCTGTATTGTTTTTGTTGACAGGGATGGTGGGGGGAGGCCGCATCGGGTTCGCTGCGCATGCTGCGAATTTGAGACCGAGTGTGTTTTGTATTGTTTTTTACAAGGGATGGTGGGGACATAGTGTGCTTTGTATTGTTTTTTACAAGGGATGGTGGTGGGGGGGGGGGGGGCCCGCATGGACCTGGGTTGGCTCCCAGTCGCTTGGGGGAGGGGGTGTATATGAGTAGGGAACAGTGATTAAACCCCCGTCCCCGAAGGGGAAGATGGCGATGGGGAGGCGATAGATGGGAGGGGTCCATGATGGGGAGGCGACAGATGGGGTGATCGAGGGTGGCAGTCCACCCTAATAGCACGGATGAGCGACTTCCCAGGTTACCCTTGCTTCCTTCCCCTTCGGCCCATCCGTGGCCACTTTCGCTGGCGGCGCCCCGCTCGTAAAGTGTTGACATGGCCTCCCAAGGCCATTGCATCCTTACCGCGCATCTTTACTACACGGGTTGACTGTACACGAAAGGCGCACCTTCCAGGGTCCATTTCGATCCGATCGACCCGATTCGACGTCGGTTTTTGCCGGTCCCGTCCGATTCGATTCTGATGTTCCGACGGTCCGATGCGGCCTGATGATTGCACGGCGCTGTTGTACATCGTGGCGCAGCCGATCCGATTACTCCGTGCCGATGCGGCCCGATCTGGCGCGCATTCCGCTTCGATCCGATTTGCCGATCCGACGCTGTCTGGATCCTGTTTTTCTATTTCCCCCCACTTCTTGCATTCTCAATCGAGCAGCGCCCGACGCCGCTTGGCTATCCACCCCTTCTTGCCTCCGCCGACCGTCGCCACTGGCGCCCTGTTCGTGGAGACGGCCCCCGGGTCCGGCAGCTTCACGCGCCTCGACGCGTCGCAGGCGGCGCCCGGCGAGGGCGAGCAGGCAGCGGAAGCCGTCGCCCAGTCAGGGAGGCGGCTGCGCGGCCGGGTGCGGTGGTGCTCGGTGCGATCGAAATGCGTGCGGAAAGCGGGGGGTCGAAGACCGACTGCAGTTCCTTCCAGTTTTGACCATGGTTCGCTGTCGGCGTTGCCGCGGGCGTGGTGTATTTGGGACAGGAGGTCGCCTGCCCAACAGCGGTCGCTGTTATTTTTGGACAACATGTGTTGTTGGGCATGCCACTTATGTTTTCCGTACCTACTTCAGCCGCCCACAGGTACGGCCGCGCGAAGGGCTTCGGCTTCGTGGCCCCCTGGCCTGAGGTCAGTGGAGGAAATGGCACCTCACCACTCACCACCCACCAAACCACCCCAACCCAACCCGAAGGCCCAGATTTGCCCTCCATTTCCAGTGGGGGGGGGTCGGGGAACATGGAGACTGCACAAATGAAGCCCGTACCCCCGCAACTCGAACTCGGGGCTTCGGGTTGGGTTGGGGTGGCCTGGTAGGTAGTCAGCACCGATGCCGCTGCTCGTCCTGGCGTCCTCAAAGACAGAACGCCGCTGCTCAACCTGCCACCCGTGTCGATACGGAGCCCTCGTCGCCGCGGCTGGATTCTCCTCGAGATGGGGGGCAGAAGCGTAGCACTGCCAGCGTAGGGAGCTAGATCCTCCCCAGGAGAGGAGCTGGAGGAGGAGGAGGAGGAGGAGGAGGAGGAGGAGGAGGAGGAGGAGGAGGAGGAGGAGGAGGAGGAGGAGGAGGAGGAGGAGCAGCGGTTTCGGCAGCCGTCCCCCAGGAAGGGGCGACAGCGGCCGGCAGCGGGGACCCCGCGGCGGACCTGTTCTTCCACCGCTCGGAGGTGCTCGCTGGCGCGGAGGGCCCCGAGGCCGTTCCGCCCGCGCCGCTGCAGCCCGGGACGCCCGTGGCTTTCGAGCTTGGGGCCCAGCAGGGCGGCAAGCCCTGCGCCCGCCGCGTGCAGGTGGAGCCGGACCTGTCTGCGCTGTGCGGGGCGGCTTTCGGGGCAGGGGCGGCGGGGTGCTTCAGCTCGGCGGTTCAAGTGTGCGGCCCGCAGGAATGGGGCCCGATGGCAGGAAGGGGCCCAGGGTCGGATTTGGATTGTCTGAGGCACCTGGTCCTCAGGGTCCACCCTTCAACCCTTCAGGCAGCACAGAGGCTGGCGCAGGCCCGCCCCAGGCTGCCTCTTGGGTCAAACGACCTCGCAGGTGGGCATTGCTTCCGTATGTCCCCCAGGGACCCTCTCGAGTTTACCAGAGGCTAGAGACCATGAACCCCCAACGGCCGTATCCTCATCCTCAGGCAGCAGGAAGGGCCCCATCTTTGAACCGCCGGTCGTCGAGCAGATCGGCGTGGACGCCAAAGGGCACGACGGGCGGAGTGGCACCGGCGCGTTCACGGGCGTGGTCGCCAGCTCGGGTGTCGCTAGGGGCGTCCTGGATTCCCGGGGGGGGGGGGGGGGCAGACGGCCTGGGGGGGGGGGCAGACGGCCTGGGGGGCACCCCACACGAGGCCCAGAGTCCAGTCAGGCGTGTCCCTCTGCAGGAGGAGTATGCCAAACGTAAGAATACAGTAGCCCGGGGACGATATGTTTATTATTCTTTGATTATAGATATATCGTATATCTTGTGGCTATTTGTTTCTTTTTCGTCCAGGATCCGCCTGTAGGGGGACGAGCCTAGGGGGCCCCTGAGGGCTCCAGCACGGCGCGGCAGGCCGGGGGCACCCTGGGCCCAGGGCTGCCCGGTAGCAACGCCCGGCCAGCCGCCGCGCGAACGCGGGCGGGGCGGAGTTCGTCGCCAAGCACCTGCCCCGCGAGCTCGCGGCCGCGCTGCGAGGCCGCGAGCAGGGCGGGGAGCGGGGCGCTCGCCTGGCGCTGCAGGCGGCGCTGCGGCAGACGCAGCACGCCTTCCTGCAGTACGCGCAGCGGCTGAGCGAGAACTCCGCGAGCCTGTGGCTGTCCGCGGAGACCCTGGCCTGTGCCGCGCTGGTGCTCGGGCCCGACGCCGAGGGCCGCCAGAGGAGGGGAAAGCGTGCCGATGCCGCTGCCCCTGCCTCGTGTCCGCCCCTTGGGCCTCCTGGGAGGCCCCCGGCGCTGCCGCCGGGTTCGCCCAGCCAGTCCAGTCCGAGTGTACCCCGGGAGAGGTCCGGGGAGTTTACCAGTTTGAAACATATCCCTATCCCTATGTTTGACATCACCTCACCTCGATGCCGATCTTAAGGATTCCCTCAGTTTCTGAGGGCCTATCCCTAAGATTGTCCTCGCTTTTTGCTCGCCCATCTTAGGGATAGGGATGAGTTCGAGGCTGGTTAGGAGTAGCGGAATCGGTACCCTTCTGTCTCCCAAGGCTGGCCGCTGCTCCTCGTCTCCTGCGTGGGCGGTGGCCGCGTGCTCGTCGTCCGCCGGGACGGCTCGTGCGAGCGCGTGGGGGAGCCTCCGGCTCTCGGAGGGGCTCGGTTTAAGTCGGGCCTGTCCCCCTACAGGGGGATTTTCGACGAAAAGAAAAAATCCCCCCAAAATAATCAAAAAATAGTCCAAAAATAATATGGGGACTATTTCTTGATTATTTTTTGGCCATTTTGGGGTATTTTTGGGGTATTTCTTATTTTTTTCGTAGAAAATCCTCTTGTAGGGGGACACGCCCGACATAAGGCTCGGTGTAAACACCGCGTCGTCGGGTCGGCCAGGGAGCCCAGGAGTTCGGCGAAGGAATTCGGGGTGTAGGCGATCGAGCGTTCCACGGGTTGGGCGCCGAGTTCCCGGGCCTCGGCGTCGCCCCAACAGATGTACCGATACTATGTGTGCGCCTCCCCCCCCCAAGGGCGACGCGCGCACCGAGAAATCATGTAGCATATGCTCCGTGGCGGGCGCTCGCTGGCCACACCGCTCGGGAAGCGATATACTACAGGATGGGCATACTATATGTTCGGGCCGGACGCGAGCCTTCAAGGAGGATATACAGTACTGGTATTAAGTCGGGCCTGTCCCTCTACAGGGGGAATATCAAAAAATAGTTAAAAAATAGTTTGGGGACTATTTTGTTAGTATTTTTGGGCATCTTTTGAGCATTTTTTGATTTGTTTTTTATTTTTCGTTGAAAATCCCCCTGTAGGGGGACAGGCCCGACTTAATGCTGGTACGTCCCTGTGCGTCCCCTGGCCGACCGCACGAGGCGGTGGCTGCACGCGGCGAGCCGCTCTCTCAGGCTCGGGGGCGCGGCGACGCCGGGGGGGCCGCACCCCGGGCCGCGCAGGACAGCCTCAAGGTCTTCGAGCGGGGGTTGAAGGGCCCGGAGATCTCCTTCCCAGTGATCCCCGGGTACTCGGGAGGGGACACACAAACACTCACAGACACAAGCCATCGTCGGTTCCCCAGAAAGCATGGGAAGACGTGGGAAGTGGGGGGACGAGAGAAACCCAGAAAATATATGGGAAATATGGGGGATCCTTTTATCTAGGGAAAATATGGGAAATATGGGAAAATATGGGAAGACAAAAATCTAGAACATATTTAGGAAATATATGGGGGATCCTCTTATTTGTGTCTATTTAGTTGTGTGCCCCAGGGCCCCTCCAGGTACGCCGGGCGGTCGAGGACCGCCGAGCCCAAGGGCTTCGGCGCCCACGCGTGGACGGAGAAGGACGGCAGCGCCGGGGGCCTGGGCTTCTCGCTGCACGCGCACCGGCTGAGCTGGGAGGAGCCGGAGGGCAGCAGCTATCAGGTATCAGGGAGGCGTCGGAGGGCAGCAGCCCCTCCTCCCTCCTCCCTCCTCCTCCTCCTCCTCCTCCTCCTCCTCCTCCTCCTCCTCCTCCTCCTCCTCCTCTCCGTAGCCATTTTGGCTCAAGGTGGTTTGCAGAGACCAGGAGCCTGCCCAGCAGGCTCGGCCCGCGCATCAGGGGCCTGCTGGGCAAGGCAGGCGCCCTCACATTTTGTACACGCTCCGAGGAGCTCCTGTACCGTACTGGTTGGGCAGGAGATCAGTTCTTCACGGCCGCGCATGGGGCGCAATGAGAAGGATGATCAGCGGACTGGAAGCCAGTACGAGAAGTGCAGGGGATGTGGGTATAAGTGGAACTGGGTCACCAGGTCTGAGTGCTACAAGTGCCAGAGGGGACTGCAGCCAGCCACCTCACAAGAGCGAGCCGCGCAGGGCACCTGGGGCCCCAGCGGTGCCTCTTCGCGGTGCCGCAGTCGCCCATCGGTCAAGCAGAACCGTGAGGAGCTTCTCAAGCAGCTGCGGGCCACCATCTCCGACGGCGACGCAGAGGCCGCCCAGCACCTCGAGGCGCTCGCCCGAGTGCACACTACAGAGGTGCACCCAGACGTCGCCCTCAACCAGGCCCAGGCGCGGCTCCGCAGGGCCGAGGCAGGGCTCAAGAGGACCATCGACAGCATCTCCGAGGGCGAGCGGTGGCTGCAGGACCAGAAGGAACTGCGGGAGAACTGGATCCACGAGGTCGCCGACGCGGAGGCGGTGGTCCAGGAGGCCTACGCTAGAGCGGCGCCCAAGGCCGTCGCGCCTGTGGAGGAGCCCACGCCAGCCCTGGACCTCTCGCAGCTGCTCGAGGGCGACCTGGACATCCTCAGCGTGCGGCCGGGCAAGGCCTTCGACCTCGAGGGGCTCGACATCCCGCCTGAGGAGCACCGCCAGTTCGAGGAGCAGATGGGCCAATTCGTCAAGCAGGTCCAGACGGAGGTCAAGAGGCACTTCGGCCCAACGGCGGAGGGGCTCGCCGCGATGCGAGCGGACCTCCAGGCCTTCAGCGACAGGCTCAAGAGCAAGAGGGCTCGGTCGGAGCCCCCCCCGCCAGAGGCAGCCGCAGCTCCCGCCGCAGCGGCGCCAGCAGGCAAGGCGGCAGGCAAAGGTGGCGCAGACCACAAGCAGCCAGGGGCGGCCGCGGCCACGGCAGCCCCCACAGCGGGGCCAAAAACCCCTCCCCCTGCTGGCGCTGACGGTGCTCGCCGCGCTGCTGCAGCCAGCGGAGGCGGCGCGGCAGGCACCACTGCTCCTGCGGGGGCCACGGGCAGGACTCCCAAGCGCGAGCTGGCACAGGACGTCCGAGCCAGGATCCTGGAGCGGGCTTCCGTCAAACCCCCAGGGGCGGACACAGACTCCAGCGACTGAGGGGCCAGCCCCGCAAGGCTGGCGACGGTGGCGCCAGCGCCCACGCCGCGGTCGGGGCAAGGCTGCCGCGCGAGGGCGAGGAGCGCCAGCCGTTCCACACGACATCGACGGGGTCGTGGAGACCCCCACCACCTCTACGAGCCCTACCACTACAAGGGGGGCGCCTCCTCCGCCCGACCAGAAGGAGCTGTCCCGGAGGGCGGGCAGGCGCTGGCAGCCTGGGCCCAAGCGGGTCGCCTTCATCGTGGGGACGTGCGTCCACGTCCCAGCCATAGAGGAGGGCCTCGACATCCTGGACGGGGACGGCGACAGCTCCTCCTCGAGTACCTGGGCACGGAGGGCGCTCAGGGGCGCGGACACGCTCCGCCGCCAGCAGCTCGCGCCGTGGCTCCGACGGCTGGGCGGCAGCTCAGCCTCGAGCACAGCCACGGACGCCACGGAAGAGGCCCCAGAGGCGCAGGTGTGGAGAGCCGCAGATGTGCGGGTGGCCGAAGCCTCTCCCCATGCGCCCCTCTCGCTGATGCCGCCGACAGGCGGGTGGTCGAAGCCTTCAGCGATGAGCTCGTGGGACGGAGAGCCGCAGACGTGCGGGTGGTCGACGCCTCTCTGCACGAGCGCCCCCAGCTCGGCTCCCCTGACGAGGGGGTGGCCGATGCAGCCCAGCTGGGGAGAGGATTGCTGGAGGCCTCGGTCACGGGGCAGAGGGTGGCGCGCCAAGCCTGGCATGGGTGTCAGCTCAGCCTCGACTACGGCTACTGATGCCTCGGAGGAGGACCCAGTGACGCATGAGAGGAGAGCCGCGGATGCGCGGTTGGTCGATGCCTCTCCCCATGCGTCCCTCTCGCTGATGCCGCCGACAGGCGGGTGGTCGAAGCCTTCAGCGATGAGCTCGTGGGACGGAGAGCCGCAGACGTGCGGGTGGTCGAAGCCTCTCGACACGAGCACCCCCAGCTCGGCTCCCCCGACGGGGGGGTGGCCGACGCAGCCCAGCTGGGGAGAGGAATACTGGGAATCCCGACCGCGAGGCAAGGGGCGCAAGGCAAAGCCCGACATGGACCTCAGCTCAGCCTCGAACACGGCCACTAACGCCTCGGAAGAGGCCCCAGTGGCGCATGAGTGGAGAGCCGCGGGTGCGCGGGTGGCCGAAGCCTCTCCCCATGCGCCCCTCTCGCTGGTGCCGCCGACAGGCGGGTGGTCGATGCCACCAGCGATGTGCTCGTGGAGCCGAGAGCCGCAGACGTGCGGGTGGTCGACGCCTCTCGACACGGGCGCCCCCAGCTCGGCTCCCCCGACGGGGGGGTGGCCGATGCAGCCCAGCTGGGGAGAGGGACACTGGGGGCCCAGATCTCGAGGCAAGGGGCGCCACGCCAAGCCTGGCATGGTGCTCAGAGGCCTCAACGGCAGCGCCAGGGGCACCCTCGTCGACCACTTGGACGAGATGCCGCTGGGCAGAAACACCATCATGCTGGTGCAGGAGCACCGCCTCACCAGCGACTACGTCGGCGAGATTAGTGCCAGCTGTTTCCAGAGGCACCTCACCGTCGCCCTCGCACCCGCAGCGGTGGGGCCAGGGGGCGGCAGAGTGGCTGGGGTGGGGATCGTCGCCCCACGCTGCGTGGGCCTCACCTACCTCGAAGGCGTGGACACCTTCGACTTCTCGCCGCCAGGATCGCCAGGAAGGCTGGTGGCGGCCTGGACCCCTGGGTTTCTTCGAGGAGGCCTCATGGTCCTCAGCGCCTACTTCTGGGTCTCCGAGGGCTGGACCGTCCGCAACCTGTCCATCTTGGACGCCATTGGCGAGCTCGTGAGGGCCTGCGACATCCCATGGGTCCTCCAGGCTGACTTCAACAACACCCCCGACACGCTCACGGCCACGGGGTGGGTGGCCGACGTTGGGGGCACCATCTTCTCCTCGGCCGCCCCCACCTGCCAAGGCAAGGGAGGCGGAAGGGTCATCGACTACTTCGTGGTAGACACGCGTATCGCGTCAGCCTTCGGTGCAGCGGAGGTGCTCGACGCGTCCACCGCCCCGCACAGCCCCGTCGCCATCGCGACGGAGAGGTCACTGCGGGAGCGGCTAGGCTGGAGGCTGGTCAAGCCTCGGGCTTTCCCGACTCGCCTCCCCGTGGGTTGTCGGCGGGAGCCTCCAGCATGGCCGATCCTCGACAGTGGCGCAAACTACAGCGACGCCGAGCTGGAGGAGCTGTGGGCGGGGTTCTCGGCGGCGGCCGGGCACGACCTGCAGGGCATCCACGACCTCGTCGGCGAGGCCGACTACACGGGCAGGGGGGGTCACCCCCGATGGGCCAGAGCCCCGATCGCAGGCCCAGAGGCGCATGCGAGGCCCAGGGGCACCACGCGCTCCAGGGCATGGCGCTGGGTGGCCAGCCGTGTCGGGGACATCGTCTGGCTGGCGCAGGCGGCCCGTCAGAGGCGCGACTGGCAGCCGTGCGCCGACCAGTGGCGGCGCCTGCGCATGCGCCTTCACCACGGGGCAGCCCGCTGGTGCGACGCGCTGGGTGACGACGCCAAGGCGGTGCACGCCGAGCTCCTCGCGCTGGGCGACCTCACCTGGGACGGCGACGCGCTCTGGGAGGATGCCCCCAGGGCGATGGAGCTGCAGCGTCGGGCCACGCAGCAGGCCCACGTCATCGAGCAGGGACTCCGAGACCAGAGGGCCAAGGCGTGGCGTCAGAGGCTTAAGGGCGGCTCACAAGGAGGTGCAGGCTTCGTCCACCGCATGTCGAAGTGGCGCCAGGGGGTCGACCCTACGCTTGGGGCCCGAGGGCACACCAACCTGGACATGACGTGCCCTCAGGCCGCGGTCGACCTGGAGGCGCTGAAGTGGATCGACCTCTGGACCTCTCACGGCGCCCAGAGCCGAGGCGAGCTCCCACGCCCCTGGGAGTCGGCCACTTTCGAGCATAGCATGGTCGAGCCGACGGCGGACGACATCAGGTCCATATGCAAGGCCTTCCCAGAGCACACGGGGGTCGGGGTAGACAACTGGCACCCCAGGTGGTTCGTCAGCTTGGGGGGCGAAGGGCTTGCCTTCCTGGCCGCCTTCGTCGCATACGTGTCGCGCACGGCCAGGTGGCCCCCCCCCAGCTGCGCTACGTGATGTACTTCCTGCTGGCCAAGCAGGGTGGGGGGACTAGGCCCATCGGCCTCCTCACCGCGGCCGCGCGGCTGGTGGAGCGCGCGCATTCGCATCAGCTCCATGACTGGGAGCGGGAGATTCGACGAGACTACGACTTCGCGGCGCCAGGCGGGGGCTCAGAGGAAGCGATTTGGCAGCAAATGTTGTTCGACGAAGGAGCCCAGCCTGGTGAGGTAACGGCTACGGCGGTCCTTGACCTAGAGAAGGCGTTCGAGCATGTCACAATGTACTTGCTTTGGGCTGAGGCGCCCAAGCACCAGTTTCGGTTGCAACTCTTGAAGCTTTTAATCTCGATATACACGGCCAGGCGTTTTGTTTCTTTCCGCGGCGTGGTGTCGGTGCATTCGGTCACCGCATTCTCAGCAGTCATTGCGGGTAGCAGCGGGGGCACGAGCTGCCTCAAGCTAGCCATCTTGTCAGTCGTAGACGGGCTGGCGCAGGAGCACCCTGCCATGCCGATGAAGCTTTTTGTCGATGATTTAAGCATTCAGGCCCGAGGTGTGGAGGCGGATGTCTCGGCCTCGATGCATGCGGCCACAACCCAGTATATAGAAGAGATGGAGGCCCGTGGGATCCCAGTCTCCAGGGTCCGACCAGACAAGCCAACGGGCAAGGGGTTCATCCTGACAGCGCAGCGCTCCTTGAGAGCCCGCATCAAAGGTTGGGCCCACAGCCTTGGACTGGAGGTCCAGACCAGCAGCACGCAGCTCGGAGTCGACTCGGCGGGAGGAGGAGTTGTGTCGCTGCGCACCAGAGCCGATGCCAGGATGGGGAGCGCTAGGCGGCGTAGAAGTAAGTTATCGAGTCTCGGCAAGCAGGGCGCGCGCACCTTTCAAGTCGCGCGCATGGGATTTCTCCCTTCTGTGCTGTATGGGGCGGTCTGCCTCGGAATGGACCCGACTCGGCTCACCCGAGCAAGGGCACTCATGGCCTCGGCGCTGGGCGGGAACGCAATCGGTAAGGACCGACTGCTCCGCCTGTGGACGCTGCGCTGCGACCCCCTGGTCGATGCCTGCACGAAGCCACTGCTCAAATGGGCGGAGGCTATCTTTGCTGGCAGCCATGAGGAGATCATGGCTGCGGGGTGGCGCAGAGCTGTCGCGGCGGCCGCTGCCGCCAAGCCTGGGAGCAACCCCTGGAGGCAGATAAAAGGACCCGCTTCAGCCGTCTGGGCCACTCTCAGACTCCTCTCGTGGGCGTGGCCTGCCCACCATGTTTTCTCCGACCATCTCGGGCAGCAGTGGGAGTTGCGCAGGACAGCACCGCAGTGTCTTAAGAAGCTGATCTGGTCCCGTTTGGAATTTGCGGTGATGACCTCCTGGGCGGCTTCCAGGGACCTCGGGATCACCCGTCCCTTCCTTGAGCCTATTAGGGCTCTCCTTCGACGGAAGGCTAACCGATCGCCGCAGAGGCGATCGGCTATCCTGGCCTACATGGGCCGCGACTTCTGGACCCAGGACAAGGTCTGGCGAGCGGGTTTCGGGGACGACAGGTCCTGTCAAGCCTGCGGCGCTGAAGTCGGATGCCAGCACCATCGTTTCCTTTGTTGCCCAGATAGAGGAGCTGCGAGAGCCACCGTAGCCGAGGATGGGGGCCTCCAAGGGATCGTGCATCGTGCTGACTCCTCCACCTCGGACTCCCTCCTTTTCTCCCGTGGGCTTCACGAGCACCCCCTGGAGGACCCGCAGTCTGATTGGATTTCTGCCCTGGAGGAGGAAAACCCCGATTTTGTTAATCCCCCGCTGGTCTCAGGGTGGGCCTACTCCGACGGATCGGCCAGAGGCCCACCAGGGCTCAAGAGTTTCGGTTGGGGCTACGTTTTCCTGGACCAGGACGGGGGGGCTGTTAAGGCCAGGCGGGGGGCCCTCCCAGGGCTGCGTAGCCTAGCCTCCGTCCTGCGTGCTGAGCTGTATGGGCTGCTCAAGCTGCTGAATAGCGCTCGCCCGCCTCTGAGGGTAGGGGTAGACAAGAGTTCAGTCATTCGAGGCCTCCGTAGAGGTCCCAGCTGGTGCTGCAGCCCTAGGAGGCCACACGCCGACCTCTGGGGCAGAATCTGGGCCCAGATCCAGGACAGCTTCAGCCAGGAAGGTGATTTCCAGGCCGTCAAGGTAAAAGCCCATGCTAGCGGGCCAAAGGATGACTCGCACGAGAGCTTTCTCGATTTTCAAGGGAATCAGTTGGCAGACTGTGAGGCCCGCCTTGGGGCCGACATGCAGGGGGTTCCCCCGTGGAAGGCCCAGACCTGGACCACCCGCTCTGCGGAGGTCCAGGCGGTGTTGACTCTGGTGGCGGGGGTGACGGGGCTTACGGCGGACTTCGGGGATTCCACGGGGGGGCCTGCCGCGGGCTCCAGCGGAGCCCGCCGACGGCGGCAAGGGCCGCCCGATGGGGGCCCGCGCCCGCGTCCTCCTCTGGAGGAGGGGGGCGTGGCGTTGCTCGACGTGCGGGCGAAAGGCCTTCTCCAGCAAGACCAGGCGCGCGTTGGCGCGCAGGCCCTGCCAGGGCAAGATGAGGGTGGATCGTCGGTGGGGTGTTGAGCTGGGGCGGGGGGATGGGGAAGGCGTCATTTCTCCCGCCCTCCGCGGTGCGGCCTTGGGGCACGAATTGCACCGCGTGGGCCAGTATACATTCTGCGATCGGTGCGGTGTGTTCTCGAGCGAGAGGGGGTGCAAGCTCTTGGCTGCCTGCGTGGGGGCCCCTGCGAACCCCACCGCAGGGCACCGCCTCTCGCTCCTGCGCCGAGGCAAAAATCCTTACGCAGTGAAGGTCTCCCTGGAGGCAGAGCCGCGCTCCCTTGTACAGGAGGAGTGCGCAGCTTTCTGGGAGCGCCTCATGGACTGATCAGGAAGGGGCGGGATGGCACCCCGAGGTGGAGTGCCCGCCCATCCGACTCACATGTGGCGAGCTGGGGCGGGGACCGCCAGGCATCGTTCTTGCAGCAAAAACCTCCTCCTCCTCTTGCTCCCTCCTCCTCCTCCTCCTTCTCCTCCTCCTCGTCCTCCTCCTCCTCCTCCTCGTCCCCCTCCTCCTCTTCCTCCTCCAGCGGGAGGGAGGGGCAGGAGCAGAGCCAGGAGCAGAGCGGGACCAAGCGGAGCAGGAGCAGGGAAGAAGTGCCAGGCGATCGCAGACATGGATCAAGGGGGCGTGGATCAACGACGGGTCCCGTTTCCATGGGAAAGCGCGGATCTTCGCCGCCGAACGGGGCGGCACCGGCCGCGCTTTGGGGAGGGCACTTCCCCCGATCCATGGATTTGGCGACCGCGCGCCAAGTCCATGGATCGCCAGTCCATGTTTGCGCGCCCCCGAAGCTACCTACACACGCATTGCGCATGCACCGATGCTGGCCAGGCCGATCTTGGATCTGGGATCGGTGCATGTGCATCCCTGCCACGCCAGGAGGGCGTATATACACAGAGCCTGGCTGGGCCGAGGACGGGCCTGGCCAGGATCGGTGTCACGGCGCACGCTTGGCGCCCTCCCCAGGAGGACGCCTGCCTCGTCGTGGGCTCCGACGGCGCGTGGGCGGCCCTGCCCGAGGACGCGGGCGTGGCGGCCTCGGTGCTGGGCGCCCTCGCTGCAGACCCCTGCGGCGCGGAGCGGCCCGAGCAGCTGGCGGCCAGGCGGCTGCTGGAGGCCGCCCGGGGCGGCGCGGGCGGCATGCCCGCCGACGCCGCCCTCGTGGTGCAGCGGCTCTCGTGGTGCCGGAGGGCACCCATGAGGCACACCTGTACCCAGACGTGCGGCGTCCTGACTTCTTCAGGGCGGCGCCCCCGGAAGTCCCGACCCTTTCCCCAGGGCCGGTTATTCGTCCTGAGTCGTTTTTTGGCGGCCCCGAGGCCCGGCGAGGGCCCCCCGGGGCCGAAGATAGCCGCCCTGATTTTTCAACGACGCGGTCGTGTCTGGGCACCGCTCCTGGCCAGGCCGTTCCTGGGCCCGAGGATCGGCGTGCTATGCCCCCCTTGCCCAAGCCGGGAGGAGGGCGCGTGTCACCGTCATCGCGGGCCCGGCAGGGGCCCATCGCCGAGGTCTCTGCGCGCGCGTGCCTCGCTGGCGCCCCCCCGAGAGGTGCTGCCTGGCCCGCGGCGGCGCCCCCGCGGCCCCGCCGCCGCGGGCCGAGGCCGCCGCCGCGGAACCCGCCGCGGCCTCGACCGCCGCCGCCGAGGCCGCGCCCGCCGCAGCCGAGGCCCCCGCGGGGGCGCCCGCGGCCCCGCGGGCCGTCGAGGCCGAGGCCGACATGTTCGCCGGCCCGGCCGCCGCCGAGGCCGAGGACGACATGTTCGCCGGCCCGGCCGCCGCCGAGGCCGAGGACGACATGTTCGCCAGCCCGGCGCCGCGGGCCGCCGAGAGCGAGGACGACGTGCTTTCCGGCTCGGCCGGGGCGGCGGGCGGCTCCGCGGGGCCGCCGCGCCCGAGCAGGTCGGCGGGCCACTGGCAGGCGCTGCTGCCACCGCCGCCGCCGCCGCTGCCGCCGCTGTTGCCGCCACTGCGGCTGCCGCCGCCGCTGCCGCTGCAGGCCGCACAGCTGTAGGGATAAATCAGAGGAGGAAAATGTACCCATACCTCTACCCTTCGCCCGTTTCCCCCTTTTTGGGCCTCCTGGTCGGTCCTCGATGCCACCGCTGGATTCGCCTCGAAATTCTGGTCAGGACGCTCCCCGGGAGAGGTCCGGGGAGTTGCGGTATCGGTACCTTTTGATTTCCCCAATAAGGTTATAAGGCAGGCTGGGCAGAGAGGCTCGGGATCGTCGTCGCTCTGACTCGGGGCGCACTCGATCGCTGCTCTTCCTTGGAGTCTCGGTCTGCAATGAGCGAGGCATGATTATACGTGCTTTCAATTCCACAAGACAAGCCTGCATGGAAGCTGGACGAAGTGACTGGGGCCAGCCCGTCCACTCTTTCCAGCCCTGGCCAGTTTCCTTTTATTTTTCCAGCCCTGGCGACTGCATCCCTACTGTTTCGGGCTCGCTTCACCCCCTCTCAGTGTTTCAAGCCCTGGCCACTTCCGCTTTCAATGCTTTTCCAACTTCCACCTTTTCCAGCTTCCCTGTATCAGTACGTTTGACGCTAGGCACACACATACGGTCATTGACACGTGCGATATCAGTTTGAGCAGTGCGCGGAACACCACATGCATAGATACGGAGAGGCATAAACAAGAGCGAAGACAGGCGGGCGATATCTACCAAGAGGCAAATCTTGGCGTGTAGGCCGATCTCAAGCATGATTGAATGCTCGCCTCGCGCGGAGGAAAGGGCGGAGATCAACCCGAACGTCAGAGAACCATACGCTTGCTGCTGCTGCTCCCCCCCCTCCCCCCCCTCCCTCTCGTTTTCTCCTCCCCCTCTCCCGACCCCCGCCCCTGTGCCTGTAGCTCCCCTATTGGGTAGCAAGTGGGCCTATAGCTCCGCCGCTTAGGCAAAGTATGGTCAGCCCCTGGTTCTGGACTCCATCGCATGCGTTCTCGAAGAGTCGATTTTTCTGAAAGCCTGCAGTTACAGAGGCTGCAGGTATCAGGATCGTCGACGTCAGAGCCTCGCTCCTTCTGCCCACGAATCAAAAAACGCCCCTGTGCATATCCCCCCCCCTCTCCCCCCCTTTTCGTTTCCCCTTCTCCCGCGGCTCCCTCTTCTGCCCCACTCGCCACCTACCCCGCTTCTTCTCACCCCTTCTCATGCCGCCCTTCGAGTTCCTCCTCCTCCTCCTCTTTCGCCTCCTCCTCACCCTTCTCCTCCTCCTCCTCCTCCTCCTCCTCCTCCACCTCCTCCTCCTCCTCCAGCCGCCGCCACGGCTCGGGCATGAGCTGCGCGCGGCCCACCGAACACTTTCGTAACATAGCCAGGAAAGCAGCGCAAGGATAGACATTCTTCTTTTCTCGCGGGGCCCGCTGACCCCCCCTGCTGTTCGAGGAGGACCCTTGGTGGGTCGTCGGCTTCTCGCCGTTGGCGATCGCCCCGTGGACACGCACGGCCTGCTGGCCGCAGCAGGTGGGGATCGTCCTCCTCGCCCCGTGCATCGTCTGCGACTGTGCACGTGCAACCCAATGTTCGAGACGGGCGCGGTGCAGGCAGTGGAAGTGTCCGCGGAGTTTCGCAACCTGGAAGTGTTCTTGTTACTCGGCAGTGGCCGTAGACAGGTGGATGGGGAGTTCACACAGCTTAGTCTCACACGTCAATCACTGGGAATTTGCCTTCGGTTGGTCGCCGGCCAGCTCAAAGCATGCGGGGCCAGTATCCTGTCTGCTACACCATCGCCAGTTTCCCAGAGCACCTGTGTCGAGTTGTTTACCCCACCGCGCGGCTGGCTGGGCGATGCGGGGCGATCCGTCCTAAGTCGAGGGAGTCGGACGTCCCTTGCATGGTGATGTACTTCTCTGTGCCGTCGTCAAGGGGGCAGAGGCCAGGCGTCATAGCGCTTTACGGTGCAAGCAATGGTCTCGTGGGCCCGCGGAGTACTCGAGAGCGTGGGCACACGTTGCGCACCCTTCATAGGGATAGTTCTGAACGACAAGCTCGATTGCACCCAGGATGAGATTGTGGATGGCCACCCCATACATGCGACGAGTCACGCGCAGGCTGCTACCAACGTGAGTTGGAGGGGATCGCGGGGAAACTCTGGCACCAGTTTTTCAGGGAATTCGACATGATCGCCGTGAACACCGCGTTTCCCGCGGGCGATACGTGCTTTGGAGCCTACAGCCACTCGAGCAGGATGGACTTTCTCCGCGCCCCTAGGTGCCTTTTGGCACACGCGCGACGCACTGCAAAGTTCTGAAGGTGCAGGGCGGCGGCTGCAACTTGTCAACACGCATGACGACGGGGACCGCCGCCCCGTTTCGCCGAGCTCCCGTGCACCTACGAGGCCTTCGCGCAGCCACGGCAGACATGGGACTATGACACTATCATGGCGAAGCTCGGGAGCAAGGAGTCGTGCGGCGGCCGAGGCCTTCCACAGCGCATTTATGGACATAGATGGGGACAACTTGGTAAGGATGTGCGCGCGGCCGAGCGCCGACGAGCTGTGGAACTCCTCTGCGCTGCTCTCAGTCAGCGCGGCGAAGGAGGCTTGCTTGAAGCGGGCACCTGTCGAGGCTGAGAAGGCGGCGCTGGAGCGACAGCGCTCGAGTCTATTTGTCACGACGTAAGGGGCCACGCGAAGCACGCATCGGCGAGGCAGGGGGGTGGATGTTGCTACGGTGGAGCTAGAGCTGGCGCGCATCACCTTCCGTTGGCGCCGCCCCTCGCGGGACATCATTACCGAACGGAACCCCACGATCACCAACCAGTTGAACGAGGCATAGGGGGATTGCGGTCATTACTTGACGCAAAGCTTAACCGTCGCCTGAGTCGGCGGGGCCGTGGACCTCGTCAGCGCCGTTACTTCGCAATTCGGGACGGGAGCTGCGACGCGCAGGAAATCTCGACATATCTTCAACTACCTGCGGGGGAAGGTGGACTGGGGGGCGGTCCCGTGCGACCTCCAGTCGAAGCTCGCGCGGCGCGTCGCCGAAGAATACGACGACGTCGATGAGGCGCACAGGACGGATCATATGCGCTACGACACGATGCAAATCAAATGTGCGACCTGCAGGAGATCGTTCCTTTATTACTTCCCGACGTAACTCGCGTTACCCCCCGCCCCCCCTCCCACGTAACGGTGACGCGGGGAAACCGGATACAGGCGTGAACGCGTGCGATTTCCCATAAACGAGGTCGAGGAGGAGGAACAGCAGCAGCAGGAGCAGCAGCAGCAGCAGGCGGAATAGAAGGAGGATTATGATGAGGAGGAAAAAGAGGAAGAGGAGGAGGGAGGAGGAGGAGATTTGTAGGAGGTGAGGAGGGGGGAGGAGGAGGAGGAGGAGGAGGAGGAGGAGGAGGAGGAGGAGGAGGAGGAGGAGGAGGAGGAGGAGGAGGAGGAGGAGGACCCCCCCCTCCAACTTATGGTGGTGGTGGTGGTGGAAAACAGGCCCATCAAGACATGGATTGCGAAGGCCCTACGGCCGGTCCCACCAACCCTGAAAAGGGACGACGACGGCGGCGGCGGCGGCGGCGACGCTGACGACGCCGACACTTGGAGGAGACTCGGCACGGGACACTCGGTGCACCGTGCCGAGCAGGCGCAGACATGGGGACCCAGGCGCGCGGGTTGGCCACGGGCCCCGCTTCCAGACGAGACAAAGTCGACGCGCTCCGGCGCCAAGCCGTGGATGTGGCGCCCACGCTCGAGATCCACGGATCCGCACTCCATGCTAGCGTGCGCCCGATGGCCCGCGCTGGGTTCGCCCTGGCCTCTGGAGTGCGGCGAGAGCAGCTGCCGTGTGGCCCTGCCGCCGAGTGCACGGCGGCGCGCCACCTTTCGGGCCGAGTCTTACCTCCTCCCCCTCCACCCACTCCCACTCCCCCTCCCCCTCCCCGCCCTCCCCCTGCATCCTCCCCTTTCTCCACATCCTTCACGCTCGTCGCTCCTCCTCCTCCTCCTCCTCCTCCTCCTCCTTCTTCCCCTTCCTTCGGTGGTAGTGACGGGACGACGTAGTCAGACCTCCTTCTTCTGGTTCCCCTCCCTCTTGCTCCCCCCCCCTTCCCACCCTCGCCCCTTGGTCCTCCGCCGCCGACGTCGACGTCGCCGCTGGCGCCGCCGCTGACGCCGTCGCCGACGCCGCCGCCGACGCCGCCGACCGACGACACCGACGACGACGACGACGACGACGCCGACGACGACGACGACGACCGACGACGACGACGGCGCTTGACGACACGACGACGACGACGACGACGACGACGACGACGACGACGACGACGACGACGACGACGACGACGACGACGACGACGACGACGACGACGACGACGACGACGACGACGACGACGACGACGACGACGACGACGACGACGACGACGACGACGACGACGACGACGACGACGACGACGCCCGACGACGCCCGACGACGACGACGCCCGACGACGCCCGACGACGACGACGCCCGACGACGACGACGCCGGCGGCGGCCTCGGCAGGCGCTCGCGCGCACCCTGGAGCGCGTGGCCGCAGGGCAGGCGCAGGCACCGCCGCGGCCGCCGCCGCCGCCGCCCTCGCGCCCTTCTCGCCTCCTCGCCGCCCGCCGCCGACGGCAGCGGCATGCGGCGTGCGGCGTCGCCGCCGCCGCCGTCGTCGTGGGCGTCGTCGTCGTCGTCGTCGTCGTCGTCGTCGTCGTCGTCGTCGTCGTCTTGGCATCGCTCGGACGTGTGCATTTTTCTTTCGGCGAGGACCATCGAGGAGCATCCTTGATCATTTGGCGAAAAACCACGCACGAGACCGAACAAAAACATAGGGAATGGACGTCCGAGCGATAGCGAGTCGTCGTCGTCGCCGCCGCGGCCGTCGCCGGCGCCGTCGTCGGCGCCGTGGTGGTGGCAGTGGTTGCAGTCATGGTCGGGGTCTCGAGCGTCGCCGCCGTCCGGGTCGGGTCGGGATGGTCTCGCGCTCGAAGCCGCCGATTTAGTGGCGGCGCGCCCAGAGGGGGGCAGCGAGAGCAGATTCTGCAAGGGATCTTGGCCCTGGGAGCGAGGAGGGCTAACATCCAGTTGCGCTGCCGCGCGAAATCCGCCACCGCGCTCCGACGGGCATCCTGGGGAGGGGTAGGGGAGGGGCGCCCAAGTAAGTAGGCCATGCAGGTTCGTGCATTTAGGGCCGTTGTCCATTGCCTCGGGCGTTGGTGGCGTGGCGCCTCACGTGCAGGAGAAGTCATAACACAGTCTGGTCCTTCTTCCTTCCAAGGTGTGCAGAGGGCACCACCTGAGAATCATGAGGGCGCTCAGCGCGGACCCCTCGTGGTGTACGAGGGATCGCGGCCTTGAATGCACTGATCCTTTCTAACTCGCGAGGGCTCTTGGCCCTGGGAGTGCGGATCCTTGGTAATTGACAAGGGCTCGTAGCCTTCACAAGGGATGGTGGCCCTGTGGACGAAGATCCCTTCGTAAGTCACTGCGGGTCGTGTGCCTGGGGTCGCAAACCTTCTGTTCCCAACCATCCTGTGGTGTTGGGTCCTCGTTTTGAAGAGACGGTCCCCACGTTCTCTCCTCCCTTCGTTCCTCCTCCCCCACTCCTCCCTCCTCCCGTCACCCCCTTACTTCGGCACGCCCCTCACACGTTTTGTGGCCCCATAGGAGCTCCGACGAAGGTCCCAGTGGTGCAGTTCGCATGCGTCCCCGCCACCCAATTCGGCGCGCCCCTCACATGTTTCGTGGCCCCATAGGAGCTCCGCCGAAGGTCCCAGTGGCACACTTCGCACGCGTCCCCGCTACCCATGTAGGCACAGCCCTCACACGTTTCGTGGCCCCATAGGAGCTCCGACGAAGGTCCCAGTGGTGCAGTTCGCATGCGTCCCCGCCACCCAATTCGGCGCGCCCCTCACATGTTTCGTGGCCCCATAGGAGCTCCGCCGAAGGTCCCAGTGGCACACTTCGCACGCGTCCCCGCTACCCATGTAGGCACAGCCCTCACACGTTTCGTGGCCCCATAGGAGCTCCGCTGGAGGTCCAAGTGGCGCAGTTCGCATGCGTCCCCGCCACCCATTTCGGCACGCCCCTCACACGTCTCGTGGCCCCACATGACGCTCCGCCGACGGTCCCAGTGGCGCAGTTCGCATGCGTCCCCGCAACCCATTTCGGCACACCCCTCACACGTTTCGTGGCCCCATAGGAGCTCGGCTGAAGGTCCGAGTGGCGCCGTTCGCATGCGTCCCCGCCGCCCATTTCGGTACGCCCCTCAAATGTTTCGTAAGGTCCCAGTGGCACCGTTTAAATGTGTCCCCGCCACGAAATTCGGCACACCCCTCACATGTTCGTGTTCCATAGGAGCTCCGCCGAAGGTCCCAGTGGCACAGTTCGCATGCGTCCCCGCCCCCCATTTCGGCACACCCTTCACATGTTTCGTGGCCCCATAGGAGCTCCGACGAAGGTCCCAGTGGCGCCGTTCGCATGCGTTCCCGCCACCCATTTCGGCACGCCCCTCACATGCTCGTTGCCCCATAGGAGCTCCGCCGAAGGTCCCAGTGGCGCAGTTCGCATGCGTCCCCGCCACCCAATTCGGCACACCCTTCACATGTTTCGTGGCCCCATAGGAGCTCCGCCGAACGTCCCATTGGCACACTTCGTATACGCCCCCGCCACCCATCTCGGCACACCCTTCACATGTTTCGTGGCCCCATACGGAGCTCCGCCGAAGGTCCCGCTGGCACCTTTTTACATGCGCCCCCGCCACCCAATTCGGCACATCCCTCACACGCTTCGTGTCACCATAAAGGGGGCTCCACCGAAGGTCACCGTTGCGCATTTCGCATGCGCCCCCGCCACCCATTTCGGCACATCCCTCGCACGTTTCGTGGCCCCATCGGAGCTCCGCCGAAGGCCCCAGTGGTACACTTCGCATGCGTCCCCGCCACCCATCTAGGCATACCCTTCACGCGGTTCGTGGACCCATCAGGAGCTCCGCCGAAGGTCCAAGTGACACAGTTCGCATGCGTCCCCGCCACCCATGTGGGCACACCCCGCACACGTTTCGTGGCCCCACATGGAGCTCCGCCGAAGGCCCCAGCGGCACAGTGTACCTGCGTCACCGCCAATCATTTCGGCACGCCTCCTCTACCGAAGGTTCCAATGGCATGCGCTCCCGCCGCCCAATTCGGCACGCCCTTCACACGGTTCGTGGCCTCATGTGGGTTCCACCGAAGGCCCCAGTGGCGCAGTTGACCTGCGTCCCCGTCACCCATCTCGGCACACCCCTCACACGGTTCGTGGCCCCATATGGAGTTCCGCCGAAGGCCCAGTGGCACAGTTGACATGCGTCCCCGCCACCCATGTCGGCACGCTCCTCACGCGGTTCGCTGCCCCATAGGGAGTTCCACCGATGGCCCCAAGGGGGCGTGGCCACATGCGTTCCCCGCCACCCAATGTCGGCACATCTTTCACACGGTTCTTGGCCCCACAGGGAACCCCCACCGAAGGCAGCAGGGGGTGCGTTCACATTCGTCCCAGGAACTCATTTCGGCACCCCAATTCACACTGTTCGTGGCCACATCCGGAGCTCCACCGGAACCTTCAGGCGGTGCGGCCACATGCGTCCCAGGCACTCATGTCGGCACACCCTTCACACGATTCGTCTCGTCGCTTTCGCGGTACTCGCAGCTGCATATGGCTGGGTCCTTCGTCGGGCTAATTTTGCACGTGTGCCCAAGAGGGCAGGAATCGCAAGGTGCCCTTCGCAAGCGACGGTCTTTAAAGCCCTTTTGGCGGCTGGGGGCAGATTTGCAGACTTGCAGAGGGAGGCAGGGTACAATGATTCAGCTTCCTGCTGCAAGTCCAGCCACCCTGCCAGCTTAACACTCTGGGTGCGAGGGTATGTCCACGGGGTGCAGAAGGCAGCAACGCATGACACATTGTGTTTTTCCCACCCACCCTGTGGTGTTGGGCGCTCGTTTTGAAGAAATGGTCCCCCGCGTTCCTCCTTCCTTCCTCCTCCCCTCCCTCCCCCTCCTCTCGTTCCCCTCCTCACGTTGGCACACCCTTCACACGTTTCGTAGCCCCATAGGGATCCCCACCGAAGGCCCAAGTGGCAGCGTTCGCATGCGCCCACCGTGCTCATTTTGGCACACCCTTCACATGTTTCGTGGCCCCATAGGGAGCCCCACCGAAGGTCTAAATGCCAGCGTCCGCATGCGCCGACCGCGCTCACTTTGGCACACCCTCATACGCTTCGGGGCCCCACAGGGAACCCCCACCGAAGGCCCGAATGCCAGCGTTCGCAAGCGCCCACCGCACCCATTCTGGCACACCCCTCACAGGCTTCGCGGCCTCATAGGGAGCCCCACCGAATGCGGTGCATACAACGGCTGTACCCACAACTGCATATGGTTGGGTTCTTCGCCAGGCTGATTTGGACGCCGAAGCATGTGACGCTCTTCCGCGTCGTGTCAGCGTGTCTCTTCTTGTCCTTGGCGTCGGCCTCGTCCAGTCGACATGCTCCCTTATCGCAATATTCTCTTAGCCAGTCAATTCGCGGTTTCTCATGGTTGTCCTGTCAGATGATATGTGTGGCGATGTTTGGAGCAACGCCCAGAATTTACCGTTATCTGTGGCACCTTGGCCGTCGTACGGTTGTCTTCGGGTGTCGTAAGGCAGTTTTTTTGGGCGGCGAAGGTGGGACATGAGTATGATGGCAGGAATGATGCTGATGATGCTGCTGCTGATGATGATGCTGATGATGATGCTGATGATGCTGCTGCTGCTGATGATGATGATGATGATGATGCTGCTGCTGATGCTGCTGTTGCTGCTGATGATGATGATGATGGTGATGCTACCGATGATGACGATGATGATGATGATGCTGATGATGATGATTATGCTGATGATGATTATGATGATTATGCTGTTGCTGATGATGGTGATGCTGGTGGTGGTGATGATGTTTATGCTGCTGGCGATGATGATGCTGCTGATGCCGATGGTGGTGATGATGTTTTTGATGATGATCGTGACGATAATGCTGCTGATGATAATGGTGATGGTGATGATGATGCTAATGATGATGATGGTGGTGGTGATGATGATGATGCTGATGATGATGATGATGATGATGATGATGATGATGATGATGATGATGATGATGATGATGATGATGATGATGATGATGATGATGCTGATGATGATGATGATGATGCTGATGATGATGATGATGATGATGATGATGATGATGATGATGATGATGATGATGCTGGTGGTGGTGGTGATGATGACGCCGAAGATGGCGATGACGACGATGATGTTAATACCGATGATTGCCATGATGCTGCTGCTTATCATCAGTGAGAAACCAGTGGATTTTCTGCGGTTTGGGAGTTGATTTGACCCTTGTGAGGGCCTCTCGACCTTGTCCGTAGTGGCTTGGAAGTCTCTAGGGCCCCTCTTTGATTCCTCGTCAGAGACTTTGTTGGCGGTTGGTGGGCGGCTCTGGCAGCCATCATGTCTCTTAAGGGCAGTCTTGGAAAGCCGTGGAGAGCCCTGGGAGTTGTATGGAGGAGCCGAGACGCCAGGGCAGCTTCGGGATGAAGGGGCCCATCACTCTGGGGGGGAGAGTGGGAAGGTCCTCTTAGAGGACTTGCAGGAGCCCTGCCAGACAGTACCCGGCACTCTACCACGCCTCAATGTGCCAGGGGGCACGGCGGCTACAGTCAACCCGCACAGTAAGGATGGGCAACTTCCCCCAGGGCACCCTTGCATCCTTGCCTCCTCGGTCAATGCTTGGCCGCTTTCGCTGGCCGCGCCCCGCCCGAAGAGCTTCGAAATGGGCGTCCAAGGCCCTTGCATCCTTATCGCGCATCCTTACTCTACGGGTTGACTGTAGCACGAGCTGTAGCAGCCGCTGTAGAGGACGGCTGCAGCAGGAGCAGCAACCATCTGAACGGCAGTCTTCGGGCGGGCGCCGCGCAGAGGGGGGGAGGAGGAGGAGGAGGAGGAGGAGGAGGAGGAGGAGGAGGAGGAGGAGGAGGAGGAGGAGGAGGAGGAGGAGGAGGAGGAGATTGACTGCACGTCACGAGAGCAGAAGCCCAGCCGGTGCGCCGCGATCCGCAAGCCGGGGCGCCCCGCGGGGCGGCCGGCGGGGATCGCTGCCGCCCGCTGCCGAGCTCGCGCCCGGAGGCGCCCGCGGCGCGCGGCGGGGGCTCGGACGCCGACGACGCGTTCGCGGAGTTCTGCCGGGAGGTGGGCGGCATCTCGTAGCCTCGGAGGCGGCGATGGGCCTAGATATTCGGGTGCAGCTCCTGGGAGGTCAAAGTCTGATGTTGCCTCGGTCCGAAGTCTGAGTTCATCCGGCTCGATCCCGACTGATCCAGCTTAATCCCGCTTAAGCCCGCTTCATCCGGCTGAGCCCAGCTTAGTCCCGCTTAATCCGGCGTAAGAGTCCCCCAATGGTGCTTAATCCTCCTTTATCTTTTCGACGAAGACCTCCCAGCAATTGCCTCCGAATAAATATCCCAGGGGGGAGCCACACGTGCATCCAGGGGCGCCGATGGTCCTCGTCTGCGTCTTGGCTCGTCGAGGGATGCACGCAACGCCCGCCCCCTGGGCTCTTCGCCCCTTATCATCGCCTCCGATAGCCCTCCGCTGGCGGGCGCCGGGCGGTCCGATTCGCGCCGCCGCCGCGTCGGGAAAAACACGGGCGAGAGGGCCGCCGTCGTCCGCGCGGGGGCCGCACGCTGCCGGTTCAGGGGCGCCAAGGACGGCCCTGGCTTCGGATTCGCCGTAGTTTTTGGGCGATTTCGCAAGTGGGGGTGGCATTCCCGCCGTACACACTACTCACTTCTAATTCTTCGAAGGTTGTTTGATTGTTTGGGGGCCAAGATCTTTTCATGTCTGATTCTTCTATCCTGGGCCTCTTCCTGGCCACTGGGAGGCCAGGAACAATGAGAAACGAGCACGATTAGAAATGAGCACGATTAGAAATGAACGACGTGTAGTTTTTGGGCGACTTCGCAAGGGGGGGTGGCATTCCCGCCGCGCTTTTCAAGCTCACGTCGTGTGGTGCGGTCTCCGCACCAACTTGAGAGTGGCCCCGGGGGGGCGTTCTCCCCCGGCAGCCTCGAAGCTGAGCCTTCATTGACGCTCAGCGTGCGACGCGCCAGTGCTACTTAGCACCCTTCCCCATCACTGGGCCGCGCGGATAGTTGGCACCTGCTCCGTCGCCTGTTCCCCTTGGGCCGCTGCAGGGGATGCCCCAAGGCGGTGCCGTTCACATTTTGTCCCATTATCCGCATCGCGCACGCCAGCGTGCGTAGAAAGGCGGTCAGACGGGCTTTGAGCGGCCTGGTCACGGCATGCCCGCTTTGCTTTCCAGCCAGGGCCCTCTGATAGGCTGCGCCAGGTGGGGGGGTCGTACCACCGCCCCCTGGTTCGTACTCGGCACCTCCCGCCTTGTGCGGCAGGTTCGTGGGGCGCTTGTAGCATCTGGGCCCTGACGAACCTCGTCCGAAGTGGTTGGCACCTTTGTCCCCCTCTCCTCATCCTCTTTTCTTCCCCCCCTCCTCGCCGAGGAAACTTCGCGTTGAGGGTTTCATGTGCATCCGCCAAACCAGGCCTTTCGAGATGGGGGAAGCCTCTTGAATCTTACGAAAGTCGGCGAGGCCTCTCTGGTCCATCCACGGGGAGTTATGGCATACCCAATCGTCTAGCCGTCTAACCGCTGGCACTCTGGGATAGGATCCCTCGAGAGCTACGTTTCGCAGTAGAGCTTTGTGCTTGGCCTTGTTACGATATCCTCTTCATCCC